CGACGGATATTAACATGTAGATCCAGGATAATTTTCTTTTTGTAAATACTTCTGCCAGTATCATTTCTGAAAAATACAGGCAGCTTCATTTCAGTTCCATTAGACTTCCAAACAAAATGTGCAACTTTGAGGAACGGAAAACCATTATTATAGAATTCAGTGCAGATATCATTAACATCTGAATCTTCTGGTAATCAACAGATAACAATCTTGAGATGAGAGTCTTTTTCCAGTAGAAAAGTATTGAACTGCAATTCATTTTTAACAAAAACTGCAAGTGTGAGTTCTTGACTGGCAGCATTGTCAAAGATGATGGTAATTTTATCTGTAGTCAGAATTTCTGTATATCTTTTTACTCCATGTTTAGTAAAAATGCTTCATTTCCTTCCAGAATACTTTCCAGTCGAGTCAGATGATCGGCAGTGCACGTTCTCTATATTTTTCAAGTGAATCAGTGACAACATCTGAAATGCTGGTGACATTAACATCCGGTTGGTTTGTCTCCGTAGCAGAGCGTTCATGATTAGAGTCTACCAAGTTCTCAGGAACAGGATATGTTTCTACAACTTCAAAGCTGTTCATGGTAGAAATATTAGGAGTTAAATCTGTGGAGGTAACAGGCTTTTCAGGAGCATTAGCCGGTGCCGGCTTGTCAGTCTGAGTCAGTGTCATTTTAGCAACTTTAGACGGGGTAGTCGAGTACCTGTCATCAGTTTTGGAGGTTGCAATACTAACAGTATCACTTTCAGCATCCTGTTTTTCTGGAATTTGGATGAATAGGCCTCGTCAGACAAGAATGCAAAGTGAGTGAGTCATTCAGAATCTCTGAAGGGACGAACATCACTTTCATAATTTTTAAATAGTCAATAAAATTCACTTCCTCACGGTGAAGATGAATATCAAGCAGATAGCCTGACAGGACTTCATGTTGAAGCCTAGCAATTTCATTCAGTCTATCAAACAGTTGTTCATTCTTTTCATGAGCTAACTGCTGAATAAGTGACCTTGTATGAGGCACATTAATAGGGAAATGAGACGATCTTCGAGGCATAATTTGTGTAGAACATGACGGGCGTAAAACAAAATAGCACAGTTAAACCAGTTTGAGGAACAAAAAGCACAACTTTCATTCATAAAAGGTAAAATATGAGTAAAAAAAGAGGTGGTTAAAAAAAACAAACTATAATAGATTCTGAAAAAATCACTTTGAGATGCACACCTTTATTACTCAAATATGTATCAAATTTTGTAACTGAGACTATTTGCTATGTGATACACACACACGAAGAAGCATGAACAAGCAGCTTTATTACAATAAATTATCTAATATGTGTACGATTCCTATAATGTACTTAAAAGTAAAAAATTAGGATGTTTTTCTGTTAATGTGGAGGCCATCGGCAAATGTAATAGCCTGTTTACATTGCATTAGTAATGCATTATTGCCAACAAGTGAAAAGAATAAATACCAAACAGTAATTTCCCATCACAGATTTTCAGTTGCTTTTATGTTGAAACACAGATAATCATTCTTCACTAAATTTGTGCTCGACGCCAAATTTTTGCTATTCCTTTTTTTTTTTTTTTTTTTTTTTTTTTAAGAGAAAACTGATTATTATGTACATAGAACAACACCTTTGTTTGCCCCATGCAGAAAGCAATCCATTATCGCTTAAAAAAACATCAGAGAATAACCGAATTTTGCATCGTCCACAGCCTTGGCATTGCACACATTTAATATTGTATAATATGTTATTTTCATTATAGAGGGTTCCCACTAAAGTCCGGAATCACTTGTTTAACTGCCGAACAGCTACAGTCATAAAAGTCATGTCTAGGTATAGTAAAGTGGCTATGTGCTACTAGATGAGATAGCTTATAGTGCCACCTGGTGGAAAATGGCAGAGTTAGTGTTCCTATCTTGAAAACGACATGAGACAGGAAGAAAAAGTGAATTACAAAGTTGTAGACATTGCCAATTTAGTACAAAAAGACACCTTGTAGATATGAATACTAAAAACAGAACGCTGAAAAGGCATATTTGTTTCTTCGTGATTTCTGAAACTGTGGCATCACAAAACTTGAATGAAAGAGAAGAGATTGTGTTTCAGATGAAACAAGAGCCTGTATCGCGGCACAGTTGTATCGTTTGTAATTCACAATCGAGAGAACTGCGATTCAAACCCTGTGGGGTGCATCCTTGTACAGATTGTCATTACAGAGTAAACAATGTGCACAATTGTGTCGCAAAGCACATCAACTCAACAACATTTGAGCTTGGTGTGCGAATTTGTGCATTATGCAAATAGTGTATGAAACGTCACACCTGTTCTCCTGAGACAACTATAGAAGAGATATCTCATTGGGGTTGTATGTTGAAGCTCATGCTCATAGAGCGATTTTCAAAAAATGATTATTGTGAGATGGTTTTACTTTACAGTGAATGTGGACGCAAAACACAGTCGGCAGCATGGTAGTATCAGGAATGTTTTCTTTCAGGCCCGCATCCTTCACACAAAACCATCCTACAAGTTGTAAAACTTTTAAGAGAGAAACGCTGCATGACTAGCCAACTTTGATCTGGCAGACCAGCTAATGTAGGGTGAAAAGTACAGCTGGAAGATGTCTTATCATGCACCCTTAAATATCTAAACAGCAGCACAAAAGAGATAAGTGAAAACTATGGCCTCTAAAAAACAATCGCGTTTGCAAAGTCCTAAATGAATTAAGTGCTCATCCATACCGGCCAACACCTAATCAGGCATTACTGGAAAGGAATGCAGAGGTTTCGCATGGTGCAACTTCGTCATGAATCAGATAGAGGTCCAGCCAACATTCTTGGCAGATATAGTGTGGACGGGTGAGGCATGCTTTTCACAAAATGAAATATACAATAGGCAGAATACCCATTATTAGGCACTGGAAAATCCATCATATTTTTCCGACGTTTGACATCAAATCCAGTTTTTGATTAATGTTTGCTGTGAAATTTATAATAACAAGCTAATTCGGCCCAATATTTTACTAGGGTACATTAATGGACGCATGATATTTAGAGCTTCGCAAGACTTAATATCTGGTTTTGTTGAGAACCTGCCATTATTTCAGCTCCAGAATGGATGGATTCAACATGACAGCGCACCAGATGTCAAGTGACACAGTACCTGATGGAGGAATTCAGAAAATTAATAACCGCTATGCTACAATGTGTATAACATGATGTTATAACAAGGGTCTAGATGTGCATTTCAGCTGATGGAGAAAAGTTTGAACGTTGAAAATAAAGGCAGCTTGTGAAAACTAGTTGGTTTTTCTTTCTAAGATCCTTTTGTGATGTCACAGTGTAGGAAATCATGAACAAACAAATGCACATTTAAAACGTTCTATTCTCTGACTATTCATGTCCACAAGCTGTCTTTTCTTAGTAAATCAACGATGTTCTGCAACTTTGTAATTCACCTTTTCTTTCTCGTATTGTTTTCAAGATAAGGACGCCAACTCCGCTGTTTTCTACCAGGTGGTGCAGTAAGCTATTTCCGTTAGTAGCTAATACAGTAGAATTCCAGAAATCCGCAAAGCTTGGAACCAGAGGTTGTGCAGATTTTAGGATTTTGCGGATTTCAGGACAGAAAAGATAAAGCATAATATTCAGACTAAAAGTGCAAAATGAATAAGGCGTATTAAGATACATTTAATTAAATTATTATATACATTATTGCAATAATTTATTATATGCATTAAATTATTATTACATATATAAATTGATTATATTATTCATTATATTATACGTACACAGCATCGAGGTTTGGCGATTTCACCTCATGCAAAGATTTCCGGTTTCAAATTCCGGTGTTAGAATCACTGTTGCTGTAAAATTTCAACAGCTTTTCTTTATTTTTCCATATATCATACACAATCGTGTTGCAATTCCATACCATTCTGCTATAAATCGAGGAGTAGCACCTGCTTCCATCTCTTGCAGAATTTGCACTTTTTCGTTACCGTCAATGCGACGTGTTTACGTTTTTCAAAGTTGCAAGCAGTAAAATCATGAGTGCGTTTCTTATCTGTCATTATATTAAAAAGGGCTGAAATTTAAAATATTCTTAATTTATCCACAAAATATCCGGATAAAAAAAGGGCAGCACTAAAAAATCTCGTGAAATGAAATAACAAACTCAGAAGATACAACAACGTGAATCGTGAACTTGAACAAAGAGTTTAGTGAATCGTCTTTTTTTTTATCTCGATGCAGATTAGACGGGAAAAAAAAAAAAAAAAACTTACTTATTTTATCTTATTTTTTTAACTTTTTTATGTCAATAATTTGGTATTTCCGTTTTGACTCATTATCATTCGGTAATTATGACGTCATTATTCTGTAAGTATTTTTGTCTTCGATATTTCGTACTCAATGTTGCGGTTTCTGGAACCTATAAAACTGAATGTTTATATTCTGAGAGGCAACGTGGATTTAAGGTCGGCGGATTTTCAGTATTTGACTGTAGCAACTTTCCTATACCTAGACACCACTTTTATGACTATAGCTGCAGCCATTTGGCAGCTAAACGGGTGATACCAGACTTTAGTGTGCCTCCTATATGCATGATAGTTATTCTTTTCCTGAAGCTTTAAGCATTTTTAGTTTTGCCACAATCTAGTTAGATTTCAGGCCAACATTTATGTTTGGCATTAAGTGGCACCCCACTGACAGAAAACAACAAAATTTAGTCATCAAATATACCAAATAAAATATCACAAGTTACAATAAATAATACTAATTTTGTGCCTTAAAAAGATTATATGAATTCATTAATGATTTAACATATAGATTACTAGATAATTATTATAAATTATAACTGAAGCACAAGAAAAATCATTATGGTGAGACAAGATGAATAGGATAACATAATGTTCTTAATCACTTAGCTGTTATTATTAAATATTCTCTTTTATGTAATTAGAAGCTCAAGTATTTTATGATAAGAAAATTAAATCACCTAATCCCCTTGAAGCAACATCAGTGGCAAGCATGACAACATGATTTTTTCGGCAAAACTCGTCATATATTTCCATTCTTCGAAGTTGATGCAGACTTCCATATAATGCCATTAAGCTAACACCGGGTCTCATGCGGCAAAAACTTTCACAAGTAAACTTAACCTATCCAAGATAAGTTAAAAATTATGATCATAAGAGACAAAATTTTAAGAGGATATAATAATATTAAAACATTTGAATATATAACTTACTTGTTTACAGCTAGCCATAAAAACTAAAATCTTCTGCTGTTTATGACTTTTAATAAATGACCATAATAAATTCACTTTTGAATGAGCTTCACATACCACATAACTCTAAAATGAAAGGATATTTTAATATTAATTTGCAATCAATTTATGAATGAGTAATTACATAACCAACTAATACAGTAATTAATAACATAATTACAGAGAATTCTTTAAACTTTTCACATCATACCTCAACTATAAATCATACTATTACTAAAAGTTAGAACTCAAAAGAAATTCCTCTTTTTCTTCTATGAACTTCAGATTGCTCACAGATTCCAAACACCTCTAAACAGAAGAGTGCTTATATTCAATATTTATAAATTTGTCAAAAAAATAAGGATTAGTAAGACAGCTGTAACCCTGTTTACATTCGATACAAGTAGACATATTTTTTCTTTTTAGATATATTTTGGAGAATACAGTATAGTCTTTAATCAGGATGTCCATAATCCGGACCTCAAAGCTACAAACTTTCTGCGCACGCGTTTACGCATCCGCATAATACCTTTACGCATGCTCATATGCATTTACGCACGTGCATAATACGTTTACGTATGTGCATTTAATGTATAACGAACGGTATAAGCCAAGCTAAAATTATCTAATTATCTATTTCAGTTAATGTTGCAGATTGCATTGTTCCTTAATCTTCTAATTGGATCCGGCTTTTTTTTGCAGACTGTTTAAGCAATTTTATAAAAAGTAAGCTTGAACTTTCGATTATGTCAAAAAGAGTTTCTGGTTCTGGAGCTGCCAAAGGATCTACAAAGCAAAAGCATGTTTTGATGTCCATCAAACAAAAAGTGGAATTGCTGCAAAAAATGTATAAAGGCATGAAGAAAGTGACAGAGAGGTGATTTGTTTCTCTAACCATTTCAAAATCTGTTTATCAATTTCACGCTGCTGCTCTGGGGGGGGGGAGTGTCGCGGCGTGCAATGAATTGGAAGCTGATCTCTCAGCACTATCCTCATCTTCAGGGCAGATGTTTTTATTTTATTCGGCTTATAATTCCTTACTTAATGTATTGTTTCATCTCGATGTATTCCGATATGATTTAAATCAATTTCCTCGTCATTATAAATATCACGAATACACATCAAATAGTTTTCTGGTTGCAATTTTCTAATTTCGACTATGCGTAATGTATGCTTTACGCATGCGCACATTGAAAGAAATGTTTAATAAAGTAAACAAATAAATATTAAGCTTTTTTTTTTTTTGTAAATTTTGATACCCTTTAGATCATAATTGCTCTTTATTTCATAAATTACGGTTTCATATTTTTAATTTTATAATTTCTGCATGCCATCTTACCAGATTTAAATTGATGATCTATAATCCGGAAAAACCCTAATCCGGAATCGCCAAAGTCTCGATGAGTCCGGATTAAAGACTTTGTAGTGTATAATTCTTTAACTCACACACAGTGCTTTCATAGTAGTTGTCTCGTGATAATTGCAAGCAAATAGTCAGAATTCTAATCAATTTTAAAACTCTTGTAATTACCCATTTTTCAATGAAACAGGTTTTTCCAAATCACCATAATTAATTCTATTTTTTTACAGCTGCATAATTTGAACATTATACATAATTTTTTATATTTTGTGTATTTTTAAAAATTTTGTATATTTTCCCTTTTGCATTTTTATTTTTTTGAGTTTATTCTAACACGAATTCTCGTTTTTGATTTGTTTAGATATTGTGTTAAACATCTTATACACAGTTACAATTATTAATATTGTTGAGAAATTGCCTTGCATTAAATTCCAATTTAATACTAACTATAGATGCTTTACGTCTATACATATATATAGCTTTAGTGCAAGTCATAGGTTTTTTTATTTACTTTTAATTACTTTATTTTGAATTTATATTCTAACTAGTAGCAGTTTTTAGTACTATTTTAGTAATAGCCTACTCTCTATGTATTATCTCCAAAATTGAATTCCAGTTTTCTCATCAATTTAGGCTAAACTTTCTTAAATAGAAAACTGCACTTTATGGCAACCATTTTACTTCCATCACTTAATATTTGAATTTCCAGCCACTTGCTTTTAAAATTTTGAAAGCAAGTTTGTTAATTTTAATTTATTAGTTTGATCTTTAAATTTCTAACTAACTACTTGTTTTAAACTTTAATTTTTAGTTCATTTTTGAACTTCTTATGATTTTGAATTAACTTTTAATGTTCTAAAGTACTTTTGTTTTTGAGTTTGAAAATGAAAGTGTAGGGGATGTGTCTTCTAAAGTAAGCATCTCGATCAGATTAATTGTGTTCTTAATGAGAAACTTTAATTTTAACATTATTTACTATTTATTTTGTTTAACAGGATATTTTTGACTTAAATGGACTAATGTCTATATTTGGATTGAGTATTAATTGTGATTTATGATTTAGATCTAGCAAATAATTTGATGCTTACTTGGAAGTAAGATGAAACATTCTCTCTTAATTTAGTTGTTGTTAATTGATGGTAGATTGGTTTATCCCTTGATAAGTCGATTATTCTGCGATCAATAAATGGCTATTTTTTAATATTTAAAATTTACTTTTGTTTTTGGTATTTTTGCTTTAAAAGATTTTTCTTAGCAGATGTTTTTAAGCAAGGGGATTGAAATTATTTAACCAATTAGAATTCTGAAATTCTAAACATTTTTTCATTCATGATTTTAAATTAAATTTGTGTTCCTTGGAGATGGTATATGGAAAGTTTTCTATCATAATTCTCATTATAAATTATTATTCTATTATTTAATATTATGAATTATTGGTTTATAACTTTGCAGCTTAAGTGCAAGTAATAGGCTTTTTAATTTACTTTTAATTACTTTATATACATATATATTGCCACTCTATTACCCAGCTCAGTGAGCTCAGTTTTTTTACTCATATATGCTGGTAAATTGTGCATATTTTGCTTTAAAAGCGATTAAATTATGTTGCTCTTACGTTTTGGTTAAGGTTTTCATCCTAAAACAGGAATTGTGAACAATTTAAAAGAATACTGATTGAATATTTAAAAGAATATTAAAAAAATTTGTAGAATTATGAACAATTTAAAAGTTTAAATGCTGCTAAGCCTAACTAAATAGCAATTTCTTTACATTTGAAACTATTAGTAGAACAGTGAATTAAGCCAGCTAGTGTACCAACTTCAGTGTCTTTTGTCCATTGTAACCAAAAGCTAACTTTTTATTGCAGCAAAAATTTCGTCTTCCTGGCCATTGGCCGAATTGCTTGTCTTTGCAGAGAAACTAATTTTAATCATAAAAATTGTTTTCAACTGCTGTTAAATGTACTTGGTATTTTTGGCTTTTCTATATTTTAAAATTTTTAATAAAGTTTTTACGTATTTTTGCCGTACCGTGAAGTGAGAACTGAATTGATTGAATTAGAAATATATATCTAATGAAATTAATAGTTGGCACAAGGAAGAGTCGTGGTATCCACATCATATATATGTTTTTTTTTTTTTTTTTTTTTTTTGTTGTTGTTGTTTTACAAAACATTGCTTTAGTGGTTAGAGAAGTTTTCAACATGCACAAATATATACATATATATATGCAATCTTGATGACTATAAGGTTATTTAGTATATGATTATTAACAAAACCTACTTTGAATGAATAATGCAATTTTACAACTGGGAATGAAATGATAATATTTTGTCATTTTGATATGTAAAGTTACAAATGTCTGAAATGTATATATATATATTTTAAAAACTTTAAAGTTAGAACCTGATATCATCCCCCACACATTACTGCAATCTTTCATTAAAAATAAATGCAGACTTAAAAAATTTATTGCTTAACATGAACAGTTAAAAATTTAATTTTGAAGTATATTTCAATGCAAAGGTAAAAAGATCAAGTTAGAAAAAAAATTTTCAGACTTCAAAACATCATCAGACTACAGGTCAGATCTCCTTAGAATATTCACAATTATGAAAATTTTATGCATAGTCATTATTTACTTCTCCGGGCTTTGCCCTAGAAATAATTTCAATGAGAAGAATCCAACAAATAAGAAAAGTAAGTTTTAAAACAATTCTTGAAGAAATTTTGCAGAGAGATTACAGCATTACCGGAAATTCTGATTTAAGTACGAATAATAATTTTAAAATGAATCATTCGGTTCTTGTATGCATTCACACTAAGGCAGAAGTGATATTATATAAAAATCTGTTATTGCCATAAGAAATACAGCTGAAATTTATTGTGAATAATATACATATGAAATAATTTTAAAATAGCCCCATAAACAGTTAAAAAAACATTACTATGAAATCCTTCTTGTAATTAATATTACACTGATTCTTGTTGCCTTAACTCCTCTAACAATAAATCAGATATATCAAAAACGAACTAAAAAAAAAGTTTGTTCCAAGAGTTTTTTTTTTCTTTTTTTAAACATAAAAAGATGTAAACTGAAAAATATAAAACCATACTTGCCAACCTATGACACTCAAAAATCAGGAGATTTTTCACAATGTTAAAAAGGACACTCAAAAATCAGGAGACATTTTTTAAGAAATCAGGAGATTTTTCACAATGTTAAAAAAACATTTTTATTACTTGCATCGTTTTAAGGAAAAAAAAGACACTTTAATCAGTTTTCATACAAATGTTATGAACAGTGGCAGATTTTGCTTTTGTTAAGAAAGAAAACTTCATAATTTTGTTCATAGCAATTACCACGTAGGCCTGCTTTCGCTAATAAAAGTTTTTCTAATGCGTCATCACTAATATTAGTTATGCAGCTGTTGGAACTGTTTCAAATTTTACTTCCTTTTAGAACTTCTTTCAAGATAATAATAAATATCTACAATGTGTTTATCCACATTTATTGGTAAAGAAGCTGCCCCTTTTTCAGCTGCTAAATTTAAGAGGTGACAGGTGCACCTCATAATCTGCAAATCTGAATTTTCCTTTCTTAAGATGCCTGCAACAACAGTCTTCAAGCCTATTACTACCGGTACATTATCGGCACCAAGTGCTAAGCAAATTATCCAGAGGGACTGCATTTTCTTTTTAAGTTTTAATGATTAGCTGTGCTATATTAAAGCCTGTCGAATGTCCTTCTAAAGTGGGGACAGAAAGTAAACTTCACTTAATTTCTGAAGACTCTGGATTAAAAAAAGAAAGAACAATTGAATACAGTTTTGAATCAGTATTATTGCTTCCATCCGTAAAGAGACAGGACAAAGCTGTTTTAATGCAATCAATAACTAAAGATTTATTTTTCAAACCCATTTCTTTAACAATTGCACCTGTTTTGGTCCTTGCACTTGAGTATTTCTTAGCGATTTCACTATTGGGAAACATTATTCTAAATAAAGCTGCAGCGTGATCCGATGCATTCAGTGGCAGGTTGATCTCCAGTAAAAAGGAAGAGAACAGACATTCTGCAATAATAACTTTTCGGTCCTTTGTTTCCGAAGAAAAATTCTATTTTTCGCTTTTTTCTTTTTTTCAAAACAACTCATGCTGTCTTTGTGTTTTTGTGTACGCACATGTTTGAGAACATCCGCCCTTCCACCATGCGAAATCCAAAAATCACAATGACAAGCGGTACACATCGCAAGTTTATTAAATTTCCTCGAGGAAATAATGGAAGGAAAGTTAACTGTGTACGATTTTTTAAACATACACGAGTATTTCACCTTTCTCACAGACATAACAAAAGATGATAATTTCTAAAACTATTTCCCGAAGGCACGTGTATTCACACAACTCAGGACAAGATGAACGAAATAACTAAAGAACATACAATTAACAGCTTTGAGCTTGCTTTGTGCTTATTGGCCGATATATGCCAGATGACACGCAGTGGAGCTCGATGCCCATTAGAGAACTGGAGAATGACGTTTCTGGATACATAATCTCTCACTCACAAAGCAGAAATTCTCATCTGATTCGCAAGGTTTTGTTTTAGATATAATCTAGATAAAATTCAATTGCTTTCAGATGTCCAAAATCACTTTTCTTTTTTTGTTCATATAACGAAGTATTAAGCCAAGTTCCATAAAAATCGTGAGAAATTTTAAGAATAAGAAAAAGTCGGGAGAAATATATTGTAAATCGGGTTGGCGGGAGATTGGTTGAAAATCGGGAGAGTTGGCAACTCTGTAAAACTATTATTAAAAAGAGCATTATTAGTTAAATGGAATTTAAAAAATAATGTATAAGGATACAGTTTAGAACTCTAAAAAAAGATTTAATTTTGTATTCATATAATAATACACAAGTTGAAGAGTTAAACAGAAATTTCATATTGGAGGTACAGTAATATATGCTATTATAAATATATTTTCTTTGCAATGGTAATGGATATAAATATAGATGACACTTTTCAAACTTTACTGAAAATACATACTATTTTCAAATGATTCATTTAATTATTCTCATAAGCAATATATTTTTATAATGCAGCAAATAGAAAGATCAAAACTATCCCGTTAGCCATAACTAAATTTTTGAGCTTGGACATAATCTGAGTGTGCTGAAAATAACAGAACATTTTCAGGATAGCTAAAATTATACCAATTTTGTTTTTTCATAAAATAATACATTTTTATTGAAGAATTATGTAAGTATGCCTTGTCACACATTTAAAAATTAGAATAAGATATTATATAATATTAATTAATAATACTTACTTGTACCAAAGTATCTGGTGTTGTGTGCTTTGCATTTTCATGAACTGAGACATAAACTGGGTTTTTTAAACTTAATCTGGCTAAATCTCTAACAGACCTTGAATGGAAAACAAGTTTACATAAAGATTTTAAAAATAACAGAAAAATAAAATGACAATAAACAGAGAATTTTATCAGATACTTTGAGAGTAAACAAATTTGAACACACTAACAAAGTCTATTTTATCTAAATCTCCTTTTTTGTTTAGTTAGTATAATTAAGGTTGTAAGCTAATTATGCAAGCTAATAATAACAGCTATATATATAAATTATACATGCATTTTTAAAAAGCTGCTATTCAAGTTTTAAGCAATATGTAAATAAAACAAAATGTAGAATAGAAATACTTTGTCTGTGTGGCTGAAAATAAAACTGTTTGCCTCTCTTGTGGCAAATTTTCCAAGATAGCATTCATTGTTTTCTCAAAACCCAAGTCAAGTATTCTGTCTGCTTCATCCAGGACTAGAAAATTGAGAAATGATTATTAATTCAAAAACTGAATTAATTTTAATATAATACCTTATGCACATGTTCAAAATAACTATAAAAGTTTCAAAGTAACACATATACAGAACAGTATACTATCAAATGAATGTTAAGACTGACTTCTTTTTTTTTTACATGACTATTACCTCACTGATTTCCACAATATCACTTCTCATTTTAAATAATTTCGAAATTACCTCAACATCTGTTAGGTAATTATGTATTGTGCAATCACATTAGAAGTTGTCATTTTTAAAATGCGTGAAATTCTGGAATACATCTGTGTAATTATTTTTCAGGAAACCATTAACATAACAATTCTTCAGTTTTAATAAGTTTTATCATTTTCTTATGCATTCCAAGTTTTAATGACTTTCATTGTGATTGTACAGATATGAATTTTTCAGTCTTTAAATATGTACCTGTAGGATTCGTTTGAATTAAAGTAATCACACTAAAATTCCTGCATGAATACATTACTTTTACCTCAGAGTATCTAAACTATTTTGAATTTAAAGCAAATGTCACAAAAATTTCATCCACGGCTGGGGTAACCTGCTTTTAAATATAGGTTTACTTTCAGCACATGTAACTGATTTATAACATATATGTAATAATACATCTGAACATAATAAATAATTTTTTGCAATCCTATGCAAAGTTTATCTTAATTATCAATTTCAGAACAAATTCATTATACTTTTAACATACTTCATTGATTAAAAGATAGTACCTAGCATTGTTCATGATATATAACAATTTAATAAACAGAGGCTGTTCACACATTTTTTAAGATGATGTATATTGTATTCACAAAACTAAATTACATAAAATTCTAGTGTTTTAAATGTTCGACACCACAATTTCCAGGATAATAATGCCTTCTGAAGTGGCAGAAGAGGTATTCTATCCCATTCCTCCCGAACAGCTTTCCAGAGTCTTGTTACGGTTTTGGGACAACATTTGGATAAGGCAGTTTTTAAAAGTCCGAAAGCACAAAAATCCATAGGTGGCACATCGGGAGATTTAGTAGGAATATCAGTGAAGGGTATGGCCTTGATACCAGTTTTTTGCTCCATTTCTTTTAGGAAATTTACAGTGGATTTTGATATGTGACTGCTAGCTTTGTCCTGATGGAGTCTCACAGATTGATGGCACTGTGGGTAAAGCGATGGTATTTCATTCAGAAAAATTGGCGATAAAATATGTTCCTGATAGTATTTGAAGTTAATCTTGACATTTTTTTGCACTCTCTTTATTTTTAACTTGCCATTATGAGAAAAACCAGCAACTATCATGAATCCCTTAGAAAAACTTTCTTTCGATTCTTTGAACCATGTACTTAAATTTTTTCCTTCCCTTTTATGATAATAAATGGCTCTTTTTTTTTTTTTTTTTTTTTTTTTTTTGTTACAGCCATTTAAATACACCCATGCTTCATCTATTGTGACAATTGTTTTCCATTTTTCTTTGGATAAGTGTTTCTCATATAGAATTCTGCAGCGTGTCCTGCATTGAGCGACATGCTTTGGAAGAAGACTATGCACATTGCGTTTTTTCGCTTTCTTTAGATTTAAATCAACGTTTATCATTTTGTTTACAGCGGACACTGAGCATTTTAATGATTTTGCAACTGTCCTTTGACTAGGGGGATTTCCTTTTAACATTAAACAATGTATCTTTGCAATAGTCGAAGATGTCAGTTTTTTCCTTGGATACTTGTTTGGATTTTTGTCCCACTTGAGGCTCCAATTTGACATTTTTTTCCTTTCTTGTTGATGATATTACCTATCGATGCTCTAAATATTACAAAACCATGACTCTCACATCGTTTTTGGATAACGGAGTATGCATATTTCTCTTCGGGAAGAGTGTAAATGTAGCCTTTGAACCACTGCTTTGTTAAATTCACCATTTTGAATAAAAACAAAACTTTCAAGCCACAGACGATAATTTTGACTTTTAAAAACATAGTACAATTGCAATTACTTCTTTTGCAGCAAACATTTTTTTATTACCGCTTACCAAAATCATCTAAGAAATGTGCGAACAGCCTCTGTACACCAGTGAACAAAATTAAAGGATAATGACTACCTTTTTTCAGCTTTTGGAGGGTCTAGGGAGGAATTTGACACCCAAAGCATCTCAAAAATGATGAACTGGTTTCAAGTAGGGTGAGCAATGTGGCCACTCCATTCGAGTGACATCTTCTGTTTACAAGTATTCTGACGTCACATATGCTTAATGAGGCCAAGCATCGTCATCCATTAGTAAAAACCATAAGCTAACAGCACACATAAACAGCCTAATTTGGGGTTTTAATACCTCGTGCATGTATCTCTGAGCGGTTACAGAACCTCTTTGAAAGATATGAAACTCAGTTTGGCCATTTGTCATGATTCCGCCCCAAAATTTAAAATCGCTAGTCGCAAAAAGAGAATATTTCATGGACAAGGAAACACAAGTTGGGTGTTCCTTTCATTTTCCAGAATAAAACATGTGTAGAATTACTTTTCATATTATATCTGAACTCGTCAGTAAACAACATTCGGGCCCACCTGCCTTGGTTTCACTAAACATGACGACGGCACCAGTTTAAATGGGCCCCTCTGAAAACTGGAGTGAGTGAGACAGAAATTGGTTTTTTCACATATAGTCCAACCTCGTTAACGCATTATGCAGCAGTAGAATGGCTAATTAAAGTTCCTGTGGCAGCCTGAAGATCTAAAACCAAATCTCCTTGTAGTTGCTTTGTGATTGAGCTGGCAAAGACAGAAAACGGTCTTCTAATGCAGTTGCTGCTCATGGGTTTCCTTGACCAGACTGTCTATCAACTGATCCAGTGCTTAAAAAGCTGTTACAAACTCTTGCTTTTAGGGATATCCCAATCTTGTGTATCCATCTTGTGACCTCCCTTGATTCTACCAATTATTTGCCTTTTGACTTTACCATTTAAATGATGCTTAATTACTGAATACTGATCATTCTCAGAAACCAGATTTAACTTAAATAGTACTACAGACAGGAATTCCAATATACATCCACTGTGTACCACATTGTTAATCACCAAATTTGCATATTTCCATTGCTCACATTTGCACGGAAATGCAATATTGTGTTCAATTGTATTTAATTAACATAAATCATTATAGTATTGGGCACTGGTTACAGCATTAGCCAGTATACTTATGGGAAACAAAATAAATATTCTAGCTTGACATGCTTAAAAGGCACATTTTAAGCATTAGTAAAACAGTAGTTTTTGCTTTTTTAAATTTTAAAAATCAAAAAAAAATTTTTTTTTTTTTAAATATTTTAAATCCTGTTTGTTCACAAAGTAAATAGGTTGTATGCTAACTCTCTTACTAATGTTTAAACATGGTTCTCACAATATCAGTCTAAAGTACTTTATTTCACTATAATCATACATGCTTTTTTATTTTTCAGCATGCTTATGTAATTTCATTGCATATTCTTTCAATTTATTGCATTTCTATTTGGGGAGGGGCATCCTATGTGTGCTATGATTAATCACAAGAAAACCTTGATCTTGAACAGGACATTATTAAAAGTTTAATTAATACATTTTGTTTAACTATTTTTACTATATTTTAAATTTACACTCAATGATTTATCAATATAGAACAACAATGGGAATATTAATATTTAATAAAAAATACATGAAAATAACACCATATACAATTTATTCAGAATGCAAGAAAAATAATTTATAATTACACTGAATAATTGGAGAGGTATCTATGAAAACAATTTTCAGAGAAACAAATTAGCATGCAAAAAAATCTTTCATGTTATGAGACAATGGGATAGAAAATAATTTCAGTTAAAAATATAGTTACATACCTAACATTCTGAGATTCATAGCATCAAACAAAGGATTTTCATCCATGTGCTGCAAAAGACGCCCTGGTGTGCAAATTAAAATGTTACATTTATCAAGAAGTTTTCTTTCTTTTGCTAAATCCTGAAAAGAATTAATATATGTATCAAGGAAGAAAAATATGATGCACTTTGAATTAAAAATCATGAAGTTTAACAGTCTATATATTACTATCCTATGTTTTTTACTTGTCTTTTTAACATAAAACTATCCACTGGTTGACCACGTTTTCCCGTATCAATTTTTTTGAAGTGAAAATTTCCATTTTTTTGTTTACTGAAATAACTAGCTAAAGAGATATGCTTCTAAGTTTAGAAAAGTTTTACTTCCATGTTCTCCTATAATTTAAAAGATCCGAAGATGATTAAAAACAGATTTTCACATGAAAATATTAAAATTTTTAAAATTAATTTTACAATATTTTTGATACATACTTTTCCACCAATAACCAATGCAACTGAAAAGTGATGATTAACGCCAACTTTATTCATAACTTCAAAAATCTGATATGCTAATTCTCGTGTGGGAGTTATGATGATTACCCCCAAGCCATCAAGTATTGACCAGCCAGAGCAATATAAGCATTCTAAAGCCTGAAAAATAAAGACACTGTAATTTACACTTATTTCCTTTTCCACAGAAAAAGTATAAAATTCAATTCCTAAATACTTAGAAGTCACACTATCAATATAAGATTAAAATATGTGGATTAAATAAATTCAGAGATATATATCATTACTTTTGTCTAATACCACAGATCTTAAAACACATGCCTACTATTTTACGCAAATTATATATTTATAAAAATGCTTGACTTTAAACTGAGACACAACAAATGTTTCATATCAAAATATGTAAAATTCTAATACTGAAATTTATTGGCATACATATACTAAAGAAAAAAAAAAAAAAAAAAGTAAATCTAAAAAATTAAGAGTGACAACTTGTTAATTCATTGAGAAAATGAATTTCTTTCCATAAGTCTTATGGTAAACAGAGGCTGCTTCCAGCCAAGGAATGAAACTTTTGTAAAACTTAAATCCTTATGACAGTAGCAACCTACACAAGGCAAGTGGTGCTAAGCCTAATGAGGCCACCATTTGTTCACATTTGAAACTCTTAGTAGAATAGTGAATTAAGCCAGTGTGCACCAACTTCAGTATATTTTTGTTGAGTGGGACCAAAAGTAAACTTTCAATTTTGTGCCCCCAAAAATATATCTTCTTGCCCACTGGCTAAATTGCTTGCTTTGGCATGGAAACTCTACTTTCAATTGTAAGAATTGTTTTTTTTTTTTTTTTAATTGTATTTGATGTTTTAGCTGTTTCTGTATTTTACAATTGTTAATGAAGATGCTTCGAGTTTTTATGTATTTTTGCCTTGCTGTAAAGTGAGAACTGAGCTGACTGAATAAAAAATATATCTCTAATGAAATTCTAGGATACAGTCAAAAGTCGTTAATTCGGACACCCATAATCCGGACCTCAAAGCTACAAACTTTCTGCGTACGCGTCGCGTAAGACCTTTACGGCTGCGAATATGCGTGTGCAAAATACGTTTACGAATGCGCGTTTAATGTATAACGGACGGTATAAGCTAAGCTAAAATTATCTAATTCAGTTAATGTTGCAGATTGCGTTGTTCCTTAATCTTCGAATTGGATCCGGCTTATTATTTTTGCAGACTGTTAGAGCAATTTTATAAAAGTAAGCTTGAACTTTCGATTATGTCAAATAGAATTTCTGATATATATTTACTAATATGTAAAGGATCTACAAAGCGAAAGTATGTTTCGAAGTCCATTAAACAAAAAGTGGAATTGCTGCAAAAAATGGATAAAGGCATATCCTTTGTTTATCTAACCATTCCGAAATCTGTTTATCAATTTCACGCTGCTTTGCGGGGTGAACACCGCGGCGGGCAATGAATTGGAAGTTGATCTGTCAGCACTATCCTAATCTTCAGAGCAGATGTTTTTATTTTATTTGGTTTATAATTCCTTACTAAATGTAGTATTTCATCTCGATGTACTCCGTCTTTGATATGATTTAAATCAAATTCCTTGTCATTAGTTTAATAAAGTAAACAAATAAATATTAAGCTTTTTTTTTTTTTTTTGTAAATTTTGATACCCTTTAGATCATAATTGCTCTTTATTTCATAAATTACGGTTTCATATTTTTAATTTTATAATTTCTGCATGCCATCTTACCAGATTAAACTGATGATCTATAATTCGGAAAAATCGATAATCCAGAATCGCCGAAGTCCCAACGAGTCCGGATTAACGACTGTTGACTATATAAGTTTAAATGAAATGCAGCAAAAATACGTATAATTTAATAGGTTGCACAAGGAAGTCATGTGATGTCCACAACAGATATTTTGCCTATATCATTCCTAATTATACCAATAACTAATCATAATTTCTGGTAAAATCTAAAAATTAATTTTAACATATATAATAAAAACACTAATTTAAATTTTAGCTTGATCAAGTTTAATTCTGAATCACAAGATCTTAATGCCTTTACTATCATGAACTAACTATGGTACATTAAAAAATTCTGTACATGCATTAGTGATGAATTTAGTTATCTAATCTCCCTTCTCAAAAAAAAAAAAAAAAAAAAAAAGGCAACAATTAGAGTTTTAATCCTTTTGAAATGCGTGTGCCATGTGCAGAGTCTGGAGTCAAAGCAGAAATCATGGGTTGAGTAATGTAAATAAACAAAGCTAGCTGTTAACTGCATAAGCATAACTGTGAAAGCTAACTAACTCACGGGGGAAGTTCTCATACTTCTGAACACTCGTTTTTATTTTTGGCAACATGGGGATACATGTCTTCCCATTTTGGAGATTTTATTCATTCTTCTTAGAGTTTGGCTACTGTTGAGGCAAATACTTTTAGTGAAACATTTTTATAGTTGAAATGGCAAGGAAAATACAATGATAAAGTTTTTAATTCTGAGAACTACCTGAGTGGCACCCTACCCCAAGAACGCAGACGGATGATTGAGGTGCTCGTTCCAAAAGAATTAAATGCCAGAAACTGGAAACTTTTAATCCTGGCATTTAAATTCTGACAAACCCTGCCATTTTAAGCATTTAAACTCTGATCCAAAATTTAAATTTTTAGCATGAAATGTGTTGAAAAAGGTTGAGGCTACTCTACAAAGCTTAAAATCAATCTACAAAAAGACAAATATTCCTATTTGTAAGGACTTAATTCATTAGAGAGCAATATACTTACAGGTATGACAAAAGCCAGCGTCTTTCCTGATCCTGTTTTAGCAGCTCCTAAAATATCATGTCCTTTCAAAGCAAAACCAATGGATTCTTTTTGTATTTCTGTGGGTGTAACATAGTTGCATTCTTTTAATGCTTCAAAAGAAAGAAATTTATATTAAAAAAGGGTTTTTTAAGATCACAAAATTTTATTTATTACATAAGACTAAAAATATATTTTGTGCAACAGAAAATAAAATAAGATTACCTCTTCTTGTTCTGTCAGATAATGGGAAATCATCAAATTTTTCAATGGTCTGAACATCAATCTTCAAAAGAATTAAAGGCACATTTAGAATATAGTGAAGAAATAATAATAATAAATAATTACAAATATAATCAAATGTTTGGGAAAAAATGATAATTTTGAATCATTATCTAAATCTGTACACTTACCATCAAAGCAGATGTTATTTTTTTACATCAGCTACAGTACAGTGTACATTTATATCATGTTTACTCCCACTCTTTATTACTAACGTCCATGTTTCCTGTGCTTTTTTACTACATTAACAGAACAGAAAAACATGTGATTTAAGAAAGACTTACAATATGTTTTATGAAATTTTTGAATTGTGGTATGGAATTTTTTTCTAACTGCTTACGTATTTTACAAGGCTGTAATAACCTATAATGTGGTGGTGTTTCTTCTTACAATATTATTAACTTATGATTTACTTTCTTCACAAATATTTTCTTCTGTCTGCTGCCTTCAAGACAGCTGTCTTATTTCAAATTACACATTTCCCTGTTTAGCCTGCGCACCATAAGGTGCTGCTTTTGGATCATGACTGATTTTCTCATAAGCTGTATACATTAAGTTAATTTCTCAGTTACTTTTACTGTTCTGCTACTATCTTTTCTATTTTTAATATCGGATTAGTCATATAGATATGGATGTAGATGCTCATTAGGTCATAGTTTTTAAAGTTGTACTGTTGATTTGATAATTTACGATGTACAAGTAGTAAACATTTTTTTTAACCATACAATAACTGCTGATTCAGAATGTATGTGACTAATTTCTTGCAATTCAGAATGTGATTCAGTATCAGAACCTGAAATATCTTGAGTGAAGGAGTAGTGAATGTTCTCTACAAGATTAGTAAAAAAACATTAAAATCTAGTATAAAAAAAACATAGTGGTAAAGATACGACTTTACAATTTCAGTTGGATATTATCGCTTGACTGATTGTTATGCATGCAGCAGTACATGGTAAAGGAAAAGTCTTCCTGGATGCTTACTAGCTCTACTGAAACTAACGGAAAGGCATTTTACCTAAGGGAAAAAAAAACCCTAAAAGAGGCTAAGGCTAAAAAAAGGCAGAGATGTCATGAATGTGGCCGTTACAAGATCAAGTACATCAAGTACAAATGCTGCAGTTGTAAAAAATTTCTATGTTTAGAACACGCTCAACAAATATGCGCTGATTGCTAATTCGTGCAACTAACTAAATGAGATAATTTCAGTTGTATTTTCATTTGTATTCGCCTAAGTTGAATAAAATTAAGTTTCATCATAAACTGAAGTTTTGTTAATTTGTGTTTGTAATATGATGCCACAAATATACATGTGTTACTTCAATAATCCCTTTGCATTCATAAATTTGAACTAAATGACCTAAATATATATTAGTACAGCAAAATACCTGGAGTCTGCGAGATGCGACGTGAACTTTAACCTAACAATATGCTACGCGAGCACTGTAGGGTTAAAGAAAAAAAAAGGGGGGTACCAGGAGAAGAAAATGATGCACATCTGGCCTAAAACTTCCCATTTCACTTTACTTACAACAGACACAAATGAAGTATTTTCTTTCGCAAAAAATACGTGCCAAAACTTTTGATGACTGAATCACAGATAGCACCATGAATAGGAAAAGGCTTTAATTTAGTTAAGGATGCATCAGAAATATAACTCCAATTTTACACTTTTATTACCTAATATTTCTTTTATTTTAGAAAACTTGTGCAGAATCTGGATGAAATACGTTGTTTATTTACGCTTACACTGCATTAAATAAAAGGTAGATAAAATGACAGATTAATAGATAAAACATACATATTTCACATCAAAATTATAATAAGATCCATTTAAAATGCAAAAAATAACCGCAATTGTAAATCGGAGTTTAAGACTGACTTTCCATAAGAAAAGTTTACAAAAATTATTACCTAAATTACAAACATCCAAAATTCGGTAAGCGGATAAAGTATTGGAATTTTTTCTTTTAATATTGAAAAATGTGCCGATATTATAAAAACATAATACTTTCTTTTATAACTGAGAAAATCTCCTCTCGGTAAAAAATAATGATAAATAAAATATGAAAATATACATACTTGTTCATATTTTTGTTTCAACTGTTCAACCTCTTTTTTAAATAAATCGATCTTACTCTTCTTCTCCTTATAAAGTTTTATGGATTTATTTTTACTTAAGAATCTTTTATCAATTTTCTTTCCAAATTTTCCACTTTTTTGACCGAAATTTGGATTCGGACCCATTTTCTTTCTTTTTTTAGAAAAAAAATATATATATAGTAGTGGACACTAGTAAATTTTTAAATAACGTGCTACAAAAGTGGAAGTAACACAGCTTGTAAAGTAGACAAGCAAAATAAATGTTTATGACACTGTTGCCAAATTGTAATTTTAGGTTAAATTTCAAAACATATAAAATACTAAAAACTGCTAGTTAATAAAAAGTACTGACTTTTAAATTTAACATCAGCACAGACTTTTGTTTCTTCAGTATTATACCAAAGAAGCTATTCTTTGATTATACTGTCTATAGAAATGTTGGTGCTGGCGGCTTGGTTAGCAGCTGTATTTAATTTTGCATTGAAATCCCTTTTGAGAGCAAGGCCAACTAGATATCTAGTTGGCCTTGTTTGAGAGCCACAATTTTTTAACTTAAATTACACTCCGGGTAAAAAAAAAAAAGACAGTTCTATATCTCCCATGCTACTCGGCCGATTGAGGAAATTATCTTGCTTTGTTCATGTCTCGAAAGTGCGACTTAGGATATTTTTTAGATTGTATATAGCATTGTCCGAATATAAATATTTTGACATAAAATCGGACTTTTTCTGAAGTGACATGTCAATTTTTTTCCATATTTTTGTTCTATGACCCATATTATGCCAAACTGTGAAGTTTTGTAAAAATCCCAAGAGTAATTTTATGTGTACACCGCATGACTTCCTTGTACGGAATATTAACCCGTTCGTGTATTTTTACTTCCTCCCTAGGAAACGCAACCCGTGACTAAATTTGGCGATTTATCCGGTTTTGGCGAAATTGTGACACCAGGCGCACGCGCAAAAGGAAATAACGCTGTCAGTTTATGTTTCTAATCTGTGATGGCTGCGAGTATGTCAAACGAAGTGGAAAATGAATTTTATAAAATTGTATTTGATGGATATTCCTACGAAGTAGTGTCTTTCAATTTCGGAGGAAAAGAGGATGAGAGACTTTGAAATCAGATGTGTCTGAAGAGTGAAGACAGATGGGAGGATTTTGAAATACATTTTGAACCTGTTTCCTACGTGCATTGGATTGTATCTTCCGAAACAAAACAATGCAAATCGGAAACAGCAAAGTTTATTTTTAAGAAAGATTATGTGTGTCAACATGCAAGATAAATAAGAAAGAGGCTAGTTTCAGAAATAAACAATGTTTATCTGCTTTGCATGTCAGAATTAAAAAAAATAATTAGTGTAAAAGATGTCGTGATGAGTATGTAAAGAATCTGTGAATGCATATCAGTTTCATTTTGGCATACACATCCATGTGCTGTTGTTGAAGCGTCGAATTGCTTACGCTCAATTGATTCTGTGAAAGAAGTGTTCATCAACTACTTTCGTGCCGGTAAAATAACAATTAATAATATAATATTTTTATTCTGCTATACATCCACAGAATTCACTGTCAGTAAATACCGTCAAAATGGTGACGGTAAAGGCAGTCTCAATAAACGTGTATCTGAACATAAAATTGTTCTACCTAAAGAGCAATATGTTTTATTGCTTTTCGTGATATTCAGTACCTCACATTTTGTACAATGAATTTTACTTAAAGTATGGGTATTATTTTAATTGTTCTAGTTAAGAAGCTTTGAAGGCATTTTTTTTCAACAGCTGAAAGCACATTAGGTTGCAATTGTTAAGCATATTAATTCATCCATTACATTATGGAATAATGAATAAATTTATAGTTTCTATATGTATATTGAAATAACAGCTTCGGAATTTAAAATTATTTAGACACGATAGAAGGAAAAATTACTTAACTAATTGATTATTTAATAATAAATGAATTGAATGTTGAAGCAATTAATAACACATAATAACTTTTGATTTAGTTAAATTCTAAATATAATCACAGATTCCTCTGATAGTAACATCAAAAACGTCTACGAAATCATTGACCAAGAGTGCACTTAGTTATGTCTGTCATTAGTTTAAACCTTCGACACATTATAGGTGACGATATGAATTTGCCCAGCTCTATCTCATTTTGAAACAATGACTAGAAGATAGATCCAAAGATCATCTACCCCTCTTCCGTTCCCATTAACTCTTGAGGACTTATTGTTCCATGCTATATATCAGGGCTTAATTTCTAAAATTAGAAGTGCCGGAGCGCTTCTAATTTTAGAATATCGCTGTGAGGAAGAAAAGAAAAAATAAATAAATAATTAAAATAGCTAATAATTAAATAATAAATTAAAATTAATATTAACTATTTTAATTAAATTATCTAATTTAAGTAAGAAAAATGTGAAGATAAAGAGAAGTTTAATGAATTATTAAATTAATTTTGAATAGTTAAATAGAAAAAAAAAGTGTCGGACCTCGTCTTATTTGAGACATTGTCCGGAATTACAATTCCACTTAGGTGCTAAGAAGCAGCTGAGTTTAAACCCTGATTATACATAAAATGTACTATTCCAAGGGATGACAAGTATCATTATCGATTAAAGCTCCACTAAGGAGAATAGTGAGAATTCTAGAAAGAGTATAAGGGTATGGAAAGAAATTTAACTGAAAAGTCTAGCTTTGAAGATAAAGAGGGAAGAGTTCAAGACTACCTGATCGCGATGCCCTGCCGATATATAATTCTAGCCGTCAAGCAGAAATTTTCCTGAATACAACGTGAGAATAAATATAAGACTTTTCGGTACAAGTGGCAGCAGTGGTCCCCCCGTTTGATTATATCATTCAGAAAGTCTACAGCTCTGGCCAAAGGAAATCACTAGCATGAAACGGGCACGACCAGGGTGTCACTTTTAGTTCTTTGAGGAATACATATTCTTTTTAAGTTACTTTGTGTTATTAACAACGTCCTATGTAAAAACTACTCGACATCTAGCCCCTGTATGGCCATGTAAACTCCCGGTGCAGCCTCACGTGGCTCCAGCGAGTTGCTTCTTCGAGATAGTGGAGGACGTGGGACATATGCCTGTTTACCTATGTTATACGCCAGGCGTCCCCGTCCTCCGTCACCTGCAAGGCTTGAGTGCTATGGAAAGACAGGCTTGCATTCAGAAGTTAGAATCGGATTTTTAAACCATGTTTACTATTAAAACAAAAATTTCTTTGTTAAAATTGTGGTTCACTAGCGTAAAAAAAGGGCCTGAGCCCTTTTATTTAGGGCTTCCGCTGAAATTATAATTTATCTCGAAAACTTAGACCTATCGGAGCCAGGCTCCGGCACAATTTAAGCTTTGCTATATACACAAATGCCACAAAGTGAAGAGAAATTTAAATGCCACCAACCTGCACCCCTTTAATTCTCATTCTAAACTTTTCAAAATAAATACAGATTTATCATATGAATACAGTGCATCAAAACAAAAATATATGTGGTACTCAATTTTTTTTTGTTCATTCTTCAAAAATCTCTTATGTGACCTCAATAATTTGAAACAAAAAATGAAATTATATCTGAACATTGGCAAGTTCTGTATTTTAGTAGAAAGCCCACTCAATCCCTAATATATTTATAATAAATATTTCTAATATTTGGAAATTTATTATTCCTGAATTATATGACTATAATAACTAAATCCTTTATGCCACTTCTCTTTTACAAAGGCCTTAAATTTTACTTTCATAAAGAACTAAGGGTCGTAAAAGAAAGCATGGATTTTCATTTTTCTAGAATGAAAAAGTGAAATTATTATTTAATACTTTTATTTAATGCAATGACTGCAAAAATGTACGCCTTAGTTTTAAGAAAGTATACTGATCTAACACAGTTTTTTCAAAATGCTTTTATCATGTATTAAACAAATGTTTGTTTATTGAATATATTAATTTCAATATTTTGTGCTAACCATAACACAATATAAGCCTGAACTGCCAGTGCTGTGAGCAAACAGGCATAGAAATCATAGGAATAGTACACACTCAAGCAATGGTTAAGATACTACTAAATGATCCTCGTTCTTCTTTCTGCCTAAAAAAATTGCACCTCTTACTATCAGATCTTTAACAACTCAGGATACTAAACATAATCATTACTCAACCACCTGTAATTATAATGCACTTGCTGGAATTTTAAATGCTAATTAATAATATATATATTATTAATTAGACTATATATTTATTACATCATCTTATATTTTAGTAATTTTAATTTGTTTAAATATAATTTGAAAGGTATTTTTTTCTAATCCGAGAACTTTTTTCCATTTAAAGTAATGGTAAATAGTTCTTTGATATATACCATTTTGTTTATAAAAATGTTCAATGAAAGATTGCTTTCATTATGTATTAAAAAATCTGATTTTAATTAAAATTTGAAAATTGTTCTGTAATTATATCAGCTTGACACTATTAATTAAAATAATTGCCATAATTTTCAAACTTTAAATTTCAAAATAGTTATTTCTTGTAAGTGCGCAGTACATATATTAATAGCACATAACCTAAAATAGCAACAATATGCCAAACTTATGGTGTATATAATCCTTGCTGTATAATAAGAGGAAAAAAATATTAAAAAGAAGTCAAAATATTTTCATGCTTTTAAAATGAGATATATTTCTTGCAAGAGAGGTAGCACATAAAATTGTCATTTTGCCAATGTAATTAATATTTAAACGTTACAATTGTCAAATTACTTAGCTGACACATTAGAAATAATTTTTCTCTTGCAGTAAATGCTTTTATATTGTAAATCTTATGTCGATTAAGAATTCTCTTAACCTGTTCAATGTCCATACGATTGCCATTAACTCCAATTTGCTGACATAAGTGCTTCAATATATTTTTTAACAATTTTCATAAAGATTAAAATTTGTAAGAAATAATTTCCAACATTTAGGATTGTGCACTGTTGTAGTTTAAATGAGAAATAAACTAGGATTTGATAAAATAACATTTATTAACAGACTTCAGAAACAGGCATGAGACATACCTAGATATAAAATGGTTAAAAAAATTTCTGCATATAATTGTTCCAATCAACAACTGTATTGCATATTACAGACAGTGGCGTAAATAAGGGTATGCAAGGAATGCCGTCGCATAGGGCCCCGAAGG